GGGTGGGGGGTGGGTGGAAGTTGGAGGGGAAGTGACCGCGGAGCGGATTCCCTTGATCTTGGATTCAAGGAAATCCAGCATCTCCTCGCAGTGAAGGTTGGAGGAGATGACCTGCGCGGGGTGGCGGGGGGGACGGAGGAGTCGGGTTGTGGTGGAAAACAGTAGCCTGGGGTTGTTCTTCGCCTCCAGGATTATCCTGGAGTAGAAGGACGATTTGGCCGAGGCTGGAGTGGAGTGGTAAATTTTGAGGAGGTCCAGCCAGATTTGTCGGTGGACCGTTAGGCCAGATTTGACACAGGTGCGTTCAGCAGCCCGCACCTGGCTTTTCAGTGACAAGAGCTGAGTGCAACGTATCCCTGCTCCCACTTATCAGTCTGTCACACCAGGTCCTGCCGATGAGCCAGAATGGTGGTGCTGTCATCAACAGTCCCCTGGAATGCTGCGGACCGGGCTGGTTTAGGAACTGGACAACCACGACCGACAGAGGGTTGGCTCAAATCCAAAATTCCGTTGCCAAACATTGGAGCCAGTTTAACTCCAAGGAGCAACTAGTGTCTATCCTCACACAAGGAGGATAGTCACTAGTTTCTCATGCCAACAACAAGATTACATTTGTATAGCGCCTTTCACGTTGGGAGGAAGTCCCAAAGTGCTGGACAATGTACAGCATTTTAGACATCCAACAAGCACAGGTTTGAGCCCTTACTAGGTGGATAGCAGGTACCGGGAACTCCCTACGAGCTTCCTAGTGGGCAACACAGCGCAGCATAAAATGCATGAGAACAATGCCACCATCTTTCTACAACAACAACAACTTGGATTTATATAGCGCCCTCCACGGCGAACGGCGTCTCAGAGCGCTTCACAGTAAAGGATCCCAGGGCCGAGCCAGGAGGAGGACGTTAGAATAGTCCAGCCGAGAGGTGACAAAGGCATGGACCAGGATTTCAGCAGCTTTCGGAGAGAGGTATTGGGGGAGATGGGCGATGCGTCAGAGGTGGAAGAAGGCAGTGCTGGTGAGGGACCGGATATGGGGGAGGAAGGATAATTGGGGCTTGAACCTCACGCTCAGGTTGCATATGGGTTTGGAGAGCTTTAGGGGGAGGTCAGGTAGGTGGAGGAGGTGAGGGCCGTGAGATTTTAGATGTTGACGAGAGCCAAAGAGTATGGCTTCCGTCTTGTCAACGTTCAGCTGAAGGAAATTTGCGCTCATCCAGCCCCTGAGATCTGACAGGTAGGCTGACAGAATATCAGTGGACTGGGGGTTGCAAAGAGAGGTGGAAAAATAGAGTTGGGTGTCATCCACGTACATGTGGAAGTGTACCCCATGTCTGCGGATGGACATCCCCAAGACGGAGCATGTAGATCAAAAAGAGGAGGGGGCCAAGGATGGATCCCCATATTTAACCGGGTGAGAGCAGGAGGTGAAGCCATTTGTGCAGATGTACTGTTGGCGGTTTGTGAGTTAGGACTCGAACCAGGCGAGTGCGGTCCCCCTGAGGTGGATGACGGAGGAAAGGCGGTGGAGGGGGATGGCATGATCGACTATATCGAACGCAGCAGAGAGGTCCAGGAGGACAAGGAGGCAGAGGGGGCCCTGGTCACAGATAGAGAGGATGTCGTCTGTGACTTTCACAAGCGCAGTCTCTGTACTGTGGGCAGAGCGGAAACCGGACTGGAGGGGTTCGAATAGGGAGTGGGAGGAGAGGTGTGCGCGAAGTTGATTGGCAACAACGCGTTCTAGGACTTTTGCGAGGAAGGGCAGGTTAGAAATATGGCGGTAGTGGCTGGAGTTTGAGGGATCTAGGGAAGGTTTTTGAGGAGTGGGGTGATGACAGCAGTTTTGAGGGGTGCAGGGACTGATCCGGAGGAGAGGGACTGGTTGATGCAGTCAGCCAGTAGTGGGCAGAGGAGGGGGAACTGGGTGACCAGTAAGTTGGTGGGGAGGAGGTCGAGGCAGCAGGTGGTTTCATGGAGGTGATGGTGGGTGAGAGGGAGGAGGGAGAGATGGGGAGGAAGGAATGTAGGATGGGGGTGGTGGTAGGAGCAGATGATGGGGAGGGTGTGGGGGAAAGAGAGGGCGTGGTGGTGGATGACAAGAGGCAGGTGGATGAGGCTGCCTGGCGGATGTTATGAATTTTAGATGAAAAGAAGTCCATGACCTCCTCGCACTTGGCATTTGATGTGACGATTGAGGAGGCCTGAGGTGGGGCACAGAGGAGGTAGTGGGTGGTGGAAAAAAGGACTTTGAGATTGTTTTTTGCCTCCAAGATGATGTTGGGAGTAGGAGGCAGTTTTTGCACGCGTCAAAGAATGGCGGTAGCTGTGGAGATGCTCGAGGCATAGTCGGTGGTGAACTGTCAGGCCAGTTTTCCGCCATCTGCACTCAAGCAGACGGGTTTGGATTTTTAGGCGGCGGAGATGGTTGTTGTACCAGGGGGATCGGGTGGGATTGGAGACGGTCCTGGATATCCTGGACGGGTGCTTCAGGGTCTCCACGGATGGAAAGCCAGAGGGTTAGGATGTTTGATGATGCGAGCGCCTTTGTGAGGGTCTCAGTGGGTAGCTTTTTCCAAGGGCGGTAGAGGATGATTGAGGGCTTGGTGGAGGAGAGAGGGATGTGAGAGGAGAAGGAGATGAGGAAGTGGTCCGAGATGGCCTTGTCCACTATGCTGAGGTCGGAAATGTCAAGGCCATGGGTGATGACAAGGTTGAGGGCATGACCACGGTTGTGGGTCGGTGAATTTATATGAAGGGTGAAGTTTAGGGAGAGGAGGGCAGTAAAGTCAGCAGAAGTAGTGTAAGGGGAGTTTAGGTGGAGGTTGAAATCCCCCATTATGAGCAGGCGTTCGGAGCAGAGGGACAGGGGAGGAGAATAGAGATGTCTGTGGAAGGAGCCGGGGGGCTTAGGGGGGCAGTAGACAAGGAGGATTTTCAATGGGAGAGAGGGGTGGAAGAAGGTGAGGTGCTCGAAGGAGGGAAGCAGCCAGAAGAGTAGGGGGTAAGACCAAGGGAGGCTTTGGAAATGAAGGCCACCCTGCTGCCATGCTGGTTTGGACGGGGGATGTGGTGGAAGGTGTAACCTGGAGGGGAGGCTTCCACTAGGGGGACGGGGTCATTTGGTGAGAGCCAGGTTTCGGTGAGCCCAAGAATGTCAAGGTGCTCGTCCAGGATGAGGTCGTGAATGGTGAGGGCTTTATTTGAGAGGGAATGGACGTTTTGGAGGGAAATGCAGGTGGGTTTGCTGGAGGGAGGGGAGGGAGGAGAGAGTGATGCGGAGAGGATTTTCAGGTGTACAGGAGAGATGGTTGTGTAGAGTGGTGTGAGTGGAGAGTTTGGGAGGGTACGTATGAGGGAGGGGGAAGTTGGTTTTGCCTTAAGGAGGCGGTTTAAGCGGAGGGAGTGAATGACTGGACACGTGGGGTTGCTGCTCTGGGACAGCCAGTGCCGGGAACCACGATGGGTCTGGCGAAGGATGCCCAGGCTGGAGCAGAGGGAAGTGGTGATGGGGTCGAGGAGAAAGAGAAGGGCTATTCTACCCACAGCTCAGGCACACATCCCTAGTGTTTGTACTATAGCTCCACCAGTTGTGGGTGCTGAGCATAAATATCACCAATTAGCCCAACTCCTCAATCTACCAAGACTCCCTGCATTGAGGCTGATCACACCACATTTCATCATTCGTCATTTACAATAAGAAGCAAATAATTAATAAAAAGTTATGGAAATAAAAGTAGCTGTTTGTCTGATTTAAAGGCAACCCAGAGGCTGTTACAGCTTTTAACTGTGTCCACCGGAGAGGAGGAAAGAGAGGAAGGAGGAAAGGAAGAGCAACCTCTGAACACGGGACACAAGGAGCATCTCCCCCAATCCCCGGCCAGTCCTCTCTCCCACCTTCACCGCACAATCCTGAAAAGTCTCCCCGTCTACCTCCACCAATCCCCAGCCAGTCCCGACTCCCCACCCAATCCCCGGCCAGTTCCGTCTCTCCCACCAAACCCCGGCCAGTCCCATCTCACCCCCCCAATTCCTGGCCCACTCCCAATCCCCGACCCACCCCCAATCCGCGTCCCTCCCCCGATCTCCGGCCAGTCCCCCAATCCTGGGCCAGTGCCTCCCCCAATCCCCGGCCAGTCCCGGTCCCTCCCCCAATCCCTGGCCAGTCACCGTCTCCCCCAATCCCCGGCCAGTCCCCATCTCCCCCCAATCCCCGGCCAGTACCCCTGTCTCCCCCCCAATCCACGGTCAGTCCCCCTCAAACCCCAGACAGTCCCAATCAACCCCTGGCCAGTCATCCTTCCGTCTCCCCCGATCTCCAGCCCGTCCCCCATCAAGCCCCGGCGTGTCAGCCCCTGTCTCCCCCAAAATAGAGAGCAGAAAGTTGGGAAAAGAACCAAATGGGCTAACATTTTCTTTCACAAATATACGGTCAATTCACTTTACAGTATATTCTGTGAAGCGCTTTGAGGCGTCTAGAAGATGTGGAAAGCGCTATATCAAATGTAAGGATTATATTATCATCATCCCCGGCCGGACCCCCCCATCTCCCCACCCCCAGCCAGTCCAATTGTCTTCCCCCCAATTCCCAGCCAGTCCACCCGTTTCCCCCATTCCCCGGCCAGTTAGTCCCATTTCCTGTGCCCTCCCAGTCCCCCATCACCCCCTCAATCCCTGACCTGTAAAACCACCCCACCTCCATCTCCCTCAATCTCCAGATAGCTCCCCCACATTCAACCGCCTCCCCAACCCTCCTAGCCCCCCCAAACACCCCTAGCCCCCCTCCTAGCCCCCCAAACACCCCTAGCCCCCCTCCTAGCCCCCCCCAAACCCTTCCAAGCCTCGCCCCCATCCTTGCCTGTCCACCCCCGATCCCAGCTCCCCCATCATCCCAGCCAACCACTCATCTCAGCTCCCCAATCCCAGCTCCCCCACAATCCCCGGCCTGTTCCCCGTCTCCCCCAATCCGTTGCTGACACTGCCCTCCTGCCCGGGCCGCTCACCATGGTGCTGGTGCTGGTGCCGGTGCTGCTGCTGGTGCCGGGGCGCGAGCCCTCAGACAGGTTTGAAATAACCGACAGCCATGTCCCCGCCGCGCGCTCCAGAGGTCACACAGGACCCCGCCCCGGACAGCCCCGCCTGAACCAAACACAACCTCCCGTTTCACCCACGCCGACCAAACCGAGACATTAGATTCAGCCATATGATGGGCTACTTTTTTGCTTAAAAAAAAAATCAATGGTTTCCTCGCCTTCCCTACTCCCGTATGAGCTGGCGATTTTTTCATCTGAAAAGCAGGCGGTTTGTATCCTGCGCGGCGGCTACAAAGGCCCCACTGTCCTTCACTCTCAACCGAGACCGTCACCAGAGCCTGAAGATCACGTGACAGTGTCTCTCACTCCATCACCTGAGCCCAACACCTGGGCAGCATCACCTGTTCATCACTTGATCAATCAATATCACCTGAGCAATATATTATTAATAATTAATAAGCTTTGCATTTGTTATAGCGGCTTATCGCGTCGTCGAGACGTCTCAAAGCGCTTCACAGATTGTACTGTGAAGTGAATTGACTGTATATTTTGTGGGTGAATACATATTATTTACAATAATAATAATAATCTTTGCATTTGGTACAGTGCGTTTCATGTCAGGATTACTGTAAAGTGGAAGGACTGTACTTTTGTACCCAATCCATCAGCAGCAATTCACAAACATGTCATCTCGAACTCTTAAGCCCACATGAAACCACCCTCGACCGCATCCCTACCCCTCTCCTTACATCCCAGCTCCACCTCCCTGCCCCTCTATTTACAGACATAAACCTCTCCCTGTCCTCCGGTACTTTTCCCACCCCATTAAAAACCGCTGTGATCACTCCCATCCTTAAAAAACTCCCTGGACCCTTCTCTACTCCCAAACTACCGCCCCATCTTGAAACTCCCTTTCCTCTCAAAAGGTCCTGGAACGAGTTGTTGCTTCCCTGTTTTGTTCCTTCCTATCCCGGTACTCCCTTCATGAACCCCTCCAATCGGGTTTTTATGCCCACAGCACTGAAACAGCCCTGGTCAAAGTGACAAATGACATTCTGTTCATCTGTGATCAGGGCTCCCTCTGCCTCCTCATCCTCCTTGACCTCTGCTGCCTTTGACACAGTCGACCAATCTTTTCTCAATCAGTGCCTCTCTCACCTCAACCTTCACGGCTCTGATCTTGACTGATTCTGATCGTACCTCTCTCACCGCCTCCACTTCATCTCCACAAACGGTTTCTCCCCTAGCCCCAGCACCAATTTGTGCGGCGTTCCTCAGGACTTTCTCCTTGGTCCCCTCCTGTTCAATAATAATAATAATAATAATAATCCTTGCATTTGATATAGCGCTTTTCACGTCGGGAGGACGTCCCAAAGCGCTTCACAGAACATACTGTAAAGTGAATTGACTGTATTTTTTTTTGTGGGCGAACGCGGCAGCCAATTGCGCACAGCAATGTCCCACAAACAGTCGTAGATTGAAAATGACCAATTTATTATTGTTTTTGGTTTTGGAGGGATTATTATTAGGCTCTGTGGAGTAAGGAAACTTGCCCAAGGTTTCGCCCTGCCTGGAATTGAACTCAGGTCTCTCGCTTGCAAAGCGAGTGCTCTAACCTCTGAGCTACAGGACTCCACAATATCTCTCTTGGTGATATCATCCGGAGACATGGGGTCAATTTCCACATGTATGCGGATGACACCCAACTGTACCTCTCTGCCTCCACTCTTGACAACAATAACAACAACAAAAATACATTTATAGAGTGTCTGTCGGACATCAAGTCCTGGTGAGAGCTAATTTTCTTCAATTGAACATCAACAAGACCGAGGCTCGCTTGATTGGCTCCAGTCAACGCCTCCTCACCTCAAGTGCTGACAGCATCACCATCCATGGTCGCACATTCCACCTTGCTAAGCCAGTCCGGAACCTTGGCATCTCGTTTGACCCTCAAATATCCTTTCTACCCCACATTTGCGCCATGACCCGCTCTGCACTTCCCCACCTTCGCAACATCACCCGGCTCCGCCACTTTCACACCGCAGGCCGCTGAAACCCTCATAAATGCTTTCATTACTTCAAAGCTTGACTATTCAAACTCATTGCTTGTCATCCTCCCTAACTCCTTCCTCCCTAGGCTGAAGATCATCCAGAACTCTGCAGCCCATGTCCTCTCCCGCACCTGATTCCATGACCCTATCACCCCATCCTCACCTAATTCCACTGGCTTTCCATCACACAGAGGGTACAGTTCAAGGTCCTGGTCCTCACCTGCAAAACCCTCCATGGTCTTGCTTTCCCCACTACCTCTGTGACCTCCTAACCCCCTATCACCCTGCTCGCGCTCTCCGCTCAGTGGGCTCCAGCCTGCTTCACATTCCCTGCCTCACTCGTTCCAGTATTGGTGGGCGGGCCTTCCTCCACTCTGCCCCCACCCTCTGGAACTGCATCCCACAGTCCCTTCGCCTCACCCCTTCCCTTGCCTCCTTCAAGACCCATCTCAAAACCCTCCTCTTCGATTGTGCTTTCGATCTGCCTGCTTCCCCCCCCGCCCTCCACCCTCCTCAATCCCGACCCCCAGCTCGGATCCAAAACTCTGTCTGTACAGCAGCTTGGGACGTCCTCTTGACATGAAAGGTATTACACAAATGTCATTTTGTTGTTGTTGTAAACCACTAAGGTCTTTGCCACCTCTCTGCTTTCACACTTTTGCAAAAACTTATCTCTGCAACAGTGTCTTAAATCACCACTAAATTCTTTGCGCTGCCTTACAATGGATTACAATTTACATTTATATAGCACCTTTCACATTGGGAGGATATCTCAAAGTATCTCACTGCTGGCCGTTCACCAAAGCTGGGGTTTGCGAGCCGAGGAGAGTCAGTAGGAGAAAGCGCAGAGGTACATCTTGAGGCAGCCTTTTACAATGAAGGGAGTAAGCAAGCTGGACGGTTTCCAGCATGGAGTTCCATAGAGTAGGGTCAGAATGCTGAAAGCTTATCTGCCAATGATGGGGTGGAAAAGGCAGGAGACATGAAGCAGATCAGTGTTTACTGTTTGAAAGGAACAGCTGTGGCATTAGAGCTGTAGACGGTCTTGACCTCCCTACCAACCTCCCCGCTCCCTCCATTCATCAGGCTCCGGCCTGCTCCATGTCTCCCAGAATGCCATCGGTGGCCGGGCTTTCAGCCTCTCTGCCCTCAAACTCTGGAACTCCATCCTACGGTCCCTTCGCCTCGCTTTCTCCCTTGCATCCTTCAAGGCCGGTCTCAAGACCCTTCTCTTCAACCGTGCCTTTGGTCTCTTTCCCATCTCTCTGCCTTCCCTCACCCCTACACCACCCCTCCCCATGCTCAGGCCCCAACATCTGACTGTTCAATGCTTTGGGACGTCCTCCCAACGTGAAAGGTGCTCTATAAATGTAATTTTGTTGTTGGTATTATTAGGTAAGAGTGCAGCACAAGACCATACAGATGCAGATCCAAATTCCAATCTGTGTTAAATTAGGTGACTTGAAAGGTCACCTATTATTATTTACATTTATAGTACCCCAGCTACACTATAATTATATAGTATAGGGGCACTATAATTGTGAATAATAATAATAATAATCCTTGCATTTGATATAGCTCTTTATCACGTCTGTGAGACGTCTCAAAGCGTTTCACAGAATATACTGTAAAATGTATTAACTATATTTTGTGGGCGAAACGTGGTAGCTAATTACACATAGTAGTGTCCCACAAACAGTAAATGGATTGAAGTGACCAATTTATTGTTTTTTTAAGGAATTATTACCCCTGGAAAAGTGATTCGCCAATCGACTAATAACCGGGTTCCTGCTTATTGCTAGGTAAACAGAGGCATGTGGATTAAGGAAAGTTGCCCAACATTTCGCCCCGCTGGGAATTAAAACCAGGTCTCTTACTTTTGAGGCGAGTGCTCCAACCACTGAACTATAGAACTCCACAGTAAATGCTAAATAATTTATAAATAAATAAATTTACAATCATGAATACTACAATTCTAAATACTAAATAAATCCTAAATACATTACAATTGCAATTAGTCTCAAATAACCCCATCTATGCTATAAGATGTGAGGTGTGGAATTTTGGTAAACTCAAATTGAGATCAGATTTGAAGCCTCTTGCTGAATAAAAGGAAAACGGTCAAATATCTTTACAGAGAGAAAGAAATGTCTTAGTTCTAGCCACCTCCAACAGGCATCTATTTCACCAACTATCTGTGCAAAGACACAAATATGAATTTCACTATCATGTGTGATTCTATTTTACCTGTACTTAGGTGGGACTCAATCATTGAAGGAGTGATAGAGCAACTATTTACATGAGAGTCCAATAGGAATATGTACCAACATAATAATAATAATAATAATAATCCTTGCATTTGATATAGCGCTTTTCACGTCGGGAGGACGTCCCAAAGCGCTTCACAGAATAGACTGTAAAGTGAATTGACTGTATATTTGTGGGCGAACGCGGCAGCCAATTGCGCACAGCAATGTCCCACAAACAGTCGTAGATTGAAAATGACCAATTTATTATTGTTTTTGTTTTGGAGGGATTATTATTAGGCGTGTGGAGTAAGGAAACTTGCCCAAGGTTTCGCCCTGCCTGGAATTGAACTCAGGTCTCTCACTTGCAAAGCGAGTGCTCTAACCACTGAGCTACAGGACTCCACAACATAGGACATGGGCCAACATAGGAACATGCATCTTCTATTTTGTGTTCATTTTAACATCTCAGAGGGAATCTATACCTTAGAGAGTTTTTTAAATATCCATCTCTAAACTATTCAGAAATTATCAAGAGTTTCTCCTTTGGTCCCACTGAGTAAATGCATAAATGCCCTGAATGGCGAGGTGCTTATGTGTAATAAATTATGAAGGCATCCAGGTTCAAATCTCAATCTATGCCATTTCAGTCAACTTCAGTTGAATCAGTAGAGAAACACTACAAGTTGCCATGTAATAGGATGGGAATAAAAACAGCCAGAGTTCTTGCTTTTGATTGTATTCTATTGTTCCCTGGAGAAACAGCGTGTATATATGAAGGCATTGGATGG